TAGGGCAATATTTTTCTTATTACCATAGAAAAACCATAAAATTATTTTTATTAATAAATACTAAAACTAAACCTGCTACCAGGAAGCCAGTTCTGACTCACAGGCACCTTATAATCAGAACTATCCTGCAGGATTTCAAAGCTGTATCTTTATGGAAGCAAGCAGTCAGCTACATCTTTCTACTTCTCATCTGGGTTGGTGGATTCAAACCTATAAAATAATGGTTTCAAGATAATTTTTTTCCCAGTTAGCAGGTAAGTGCTTAATAATGGTGACACTAGTATTCCTACTAAAAATTATAACTGGTGGCCAGTGAAAAGAAAGTGCACTGCAATCCCAAAGTCATGTGGTTCAAATCCACCAGCTGCTTCATGGGGAAAGGATGTACAATCTCTTCCCTGAAATTGCCCCTGAAAACCCACTGGAGGGGCACCTATGGCTAGGTTCTGACTCGATAATACACAACAACAACAAATGGTGAAGAATTTACTTTGCCCAAAGAGAAGTATGACACAGGTTCTTAGTGTACAAGCTCTAAATTCCTGATTTTCCCCAGTGAGTGGAGTGCTTTTGTTATTCATGATGAAATCTTTGCACCTCAGTTGATAGCCTAATTGTTGAGCCATTAGGTGATGTTAATAAGATGATTCAAGGTGAATTAGACTTACTATAAACTTAGGACAGGTGCTACCAGTACCAAAAGGAGGGCTAGGACTTTGAACTTAATATGGGCCTAATCTCCAGGGAGGTGAAGGAGTTAGAGTCCAGCCACAAAGGGAATGTTCACTCACTCGTGTCCAAGTAACAAAACCTTAGTAAAACCTTTGGATAGTAAAGCTTGAGTGAACTTTCCTGGCTCGCCAAACAGAAAACCAAAACCATTCAAGTTGATATGGATTCACGGTCACCCCATGGAACTGTCCTACAGGGTTTCTAAGGCTGTAAATCTTTACAGAAACAAATTGTTTCCTTTCATGGAACAGCTATGGTTTTAATCAACCTTCTGAATTCCTAATCTCAGCTCCAGCAGAGCTCTGATTGACAAACTGTGTGGACTGTCACACATCAATGTGATAATATAGCTTGAGGGTGGGTGAGGAATGAGATGTGTCCTGAAGACTAGGGAGCCTCAGGCTCAGAACCTTCCTAAACCTCACTCCATTTATCACTCCTTTCTGCTGGTCTTTACTATCAAATAAAGGATCTCTAGTGACCTACCAGTTAGGAGCTGCTATGCCATCTCACAGGCACACAGTTCAAATCCAACAGCTACTTCACAGGAGAAAGATGAGTGATCTCTCCTTCAATGCAATTTATCATCTCTGAAAACCTACTGAATGGTCAGCGGTGATTCAATTCTGACTTGATGAAATACAACAACACTATCAAAAAACTCGAACTTATTTTCAAGATGCCAGAACATGCTTATAGCTGACCCTTCATTGAGTATTGAAGGCTTTACATAACACAGGGAGAGATTGCCCATTTTTTTTCACCCAGGAGCTTCTGGTGAATTTGTGAAGCAATCACCTTTGAGTTAGCAGTACAGTTCCCTACGGACTGCACCACCAGAGCTCCCGGATCTGCTTTCTACGATAAAGTTATAATTGACAAATGAATGGATAGAGAAGCTGTGGTATATTCACACAATGGAATACTACGCTGCATTGAAAAACAAGGAACTCATGAAATATACAAAATGGGTGA